TAGTAGTAATAATAATAGTAGTTTTAGTAGTGGCGGAGGTGGTGGTAGTAGTAGTTGTTTTTTTGTATAGTAGTAAAGTTTTTTTGTTTATTGCAACAAAAAGTTGTTGATGTTGTGTTAAAACAAGAGCGAGTGGTGTTGGTTGTTGTTGTTGCTGTTAATAATAATGTTGATGGTTTGAATTATATATTTTGTTTAAAATAAATGATAAGTTATTTTATCATATTTCTTGAAAATTATTGTTAATATTTTCATTCACATTAATTATCGATCAAACGCTTTCAGGTTTGTGTTCAGGTTGAAATGATATTTACTTCTATTTCTATTCTCTTTTCATAGTTTCAATTTTTAGCCCCAAGGAGATCCAAGAAACAAATGTTTATATATTTATTCGTATGTTTGTTTGTTTGTATGTATGCTTGTAAGTTTGTTTGTATGGATATATGTATGTATGTTTGTTTGTTTGATTGTATGTTTGTTTGATTGCATGTATGTATGTTTAACTATTTGTTTGTTTGTTTGTATGTTCCTTTGTGTGTTGAAGCAATTTGCTTTGCGGTGATTTGCAGTCTCGTAAAGATCCGACGGTGAAATGTGTTGACAATATTATGATGAAATGTGATTAGTGAATATGATTTACTGCTACAGAACAAACTATTTTTGTATATTATTGTATATTTTTGTTTCTATTTGTGTATGTCATTTGTTTATTGCTTTTTGTTTACATTTTTGTGAGAGATTTTTTCTCAAAGCCATCATTGTTTAGAAGAAAGACAATGCTTGCCCGCCCATGCAGCAGTTTATCATCGCAAACCTTGTAAACGGATTAAAACGTATTAAATGGACCTCGAATGTTTATACCACACAAAATTTCTTTTGTATCAATCTCATACAAAGTTTATTTAGTATTAATTTGCATACAAAGTATGTATTGTATTAATGTTGGTATATATTTATTTTTTTATCTATTTTAAACGTTTTTTTGGTATCAATTTTCATACAAAGTTTATTTAGGCAAAGTTTATTCTGGTTAAAATATACATACATGTGTATTTATCTACGTTACAAACATTTTATGTTTGTATCAGTTTTATTATTGCGGCTATTTGTATCAATGTTTCATTTATTCAAACTGTTTATATTCTTGTAAAAATAAGGAAAAAGTTCATCGCTTCATTTCATTTCGTTTCGTTTCATTTCCTTTCGACCTGGTTTTTTACCCCATTTTTCTCCTTCTCTCTCTCTCTCTCTTTCTCTCTTTCTCTCTTTTTCTCTCTCTATCTGTTTTGCTTTTAAAAAAAGAAAATAAAAAAGTTGTTAAAAATAAACTAGATAATAATTAAATTAAATTGAAGATTTTTATTTGTTATTGACGTACAAATAATATGACAAGACATGTGAACGTAATTTAAGAATATTAGAAAACAATTTTTCTGTATTTATGCATATAATTTATATTCATTTATTTATCCATCTTTCTAAATACATTTATTCATCTATTTATTATAAATTAACATCACCCTATATCAGTTTTTCTATTTATTCGTTCGTATATTTTTATTTGTTTGTGAAGCATTCACAGAAGCAATGCATTGTACGGACGGAGTTGTCTACGCGTCAAGCAAAGCAGACCATGCATACCGATATGGGTAGATGCCTGAGTTCAAACAAAAACCACACGCATACATACATAACATACAACACACGCAAGCGTACACTATGTCTAATACAAACATATATATATATATATATATATATATATATATATATATATATATATATATATATATATATCATATACACAGTTAATAGTTTAGCGTCATACTCACAGGCGCAAACATACACACACGCATATACACGTTTGCATCCGCACACAAACATATTGACGCATAAAAACGCATACACACACTCACACAACATACATTAACATACACACACACACACACACATACAGACACACACATACAGACACACACATACATAAGTTTACATGCATACATATGTTTGTACATTTTAATTTGTTTACTATGTCCAGGATAGACTGAATAAATAGAAAACCCCAGAGAAGGAAAGATGAACGAGATGAGAGATGCATGTTTGGAAGAAGAGTGGTGGAGGGAGATAGCGATTTCGATATTAACTGCGTTACGTTCTTACTGGTAGGGAGGTTATAAAAAATATTATCTGTTTGCTTTCCTCATCAATATTATCATCGTCCAAATTTGTTTTTTCTATAATAAAAGTCATCATTATTGCTATTGTCATCATTGTCGTCACCATCATTATCATCTTCATTGTCACTATTATCTTCCTCATCATCATCATTGTCGTCCTAACCATAATCATCATCATCGTTATAATTTTTTCAAAGTTATCGGTGATATCTTTCTTTATCAATGTCATCATATATGTTATCCTTAATGCAATCATTATTATTATCAATACTGTCAATCATAAATATCGTTAATGTTATCAACACGTTGTTGTTGTGTTGTTGTTGTTGTTGTGTTAATAGATATGCGTGTTTGTTTCTCTGCGTGAAATGGCCAAGTTAATGTCGTCGCTGTATTGCCCAACCAACTAAAATCAATCAACCAATCAAAAATTATTGTTAATGTCATCAATATGTTGTTGTTGTTGTGTTGTTAATAGACATGCATTTGTTTTTTCTTTTTGTAATTTTGTTAAGTTAATGTGATTGCTGCTAGTTTTGTTGTTGTGTTTGCAGAAAATTTTTCCATTTCTAGAGTTTTTAGTAAAAAATGCAACATCATTGGCGTAAGAATCTGTAGACACGAACGAACGAACTCGTGTTGAGAATTGAACCTAATAAATATGGCAGAGGCAAACTATCGCCTTGAAAGCATCCTGCATAATGCATAACATTCAGCCTGACAACGAGAGAAATTGTCGTTTAAAACTCTTACAAAATATCTGCTTCTACTGTCTGCTGGCTATATACCTAAGTAACATTATTTATTTAGGGGTAATACTAGCTTATCATTTATTTAGTAATAATACTAATGCTAGTATTATCATTGTTATTTATAATGAAGTAGATGAACATTTACTATTACTACTACCAAACGAAGGATCCACTTCTGCTACTACTGCTGCTGATGCTACTACTACTACTTCTGTTTTTACCTTCTCTACTACAACCACTACTACCATCGCCACTACTGCTGCTGTACTGCTACTTCTACCATTACTATTTTTATTCACAGTATTACTGTTGTAGTATTATCATCATCACAACAGTATTTCATTATAGGTTAGTATCATATTAAGTAATAATAACTGCATATAATATTGTATTTGTTTAGCAAATTTTTATTTGTCATGAGTTTTTTGATTATATGTTCTGCCTATACCTTTCAGGCAATGTAGAAATGTTTCCACAGGGTGTGGTTTGCCACAAACATACACAAGCACATACACATACACGAACACATACACATACATGAGCACATACACATACACATACCTTTACACATACTCATATACACACACAGGCCCATGATGCTGTTTATTAAATATTTACTGATGACCACAACGGTGTGGTTGTTTATTTCGTGTGTTTGTTGCTGTGTTTGTTGCTGTGTTTGTTGCTGTTGTTGTGTTTGTTGCTGTGTTGTGTTTTTTGTTGTTGTGCTATGTTTGTTGTTGTGTTTGTTTTTGTTGTTGTCGTTGCTTTTAATTTTGTTCACTTGTCGTTATTTTATATTTTGTCAAAATAACATGACAACATCATTGATGCCATAAATAGCATCATGACATCACCAAACATCCTGATGTAACCATTAACATCATGACATCATTGATGTCTTTCAAATTTGACTCTGTACAAAAAATCAATAAGGACTGTTCTTTATCGGTGATATAAATTTTCTAGAAAAAGGCATCTTTAAAACGTAACGTTAAATAACCAGAAATGTCAATAGGAAGAGAGAGAGAGTGAGAGAGAGAGAGAGAGACAGAGAGAAGGAGAAAGAGAGGAGAGAAAGAGAGAGGAAAAAATATATAAACCAAGATGAACAAACACGATGAACAAACCTTAGCTTCATTAAACAAAAACAAGAGAGAGAGAAAAATATGCAATATAAAAAAAGGAAGAAAACAAAAAAAAAGTCTAATTACATGGGCCATAAAATTTTGCAAAGAAGCAATAAAACTAATTTACGATGGAACAGGCATGCTCAAAGCGAACCATTTACATATTAGCTTTTGTGAAGAAGAAGGAGAACCATCTCTTTTTATTCCTTTCTTACCTTTTCTTTCTTTCATTCTATTTCACTATTTTTTTTTATTTTTCTACTAGTTTCTCTCACTCTTTTTTTTCTCTCTCTCTCCTTCTTTTCTGCTCTTGTTTTCTATCTCTCTTTCTACGTGTTTTTTTTGTTTTTTTCCTTTTTTTTCTCGCCCATCTCTCTCTCTCACACACACTATCACTCACTCTCTATTTTCACTTGTTAATCAGTCAGTGTTTGTTTGCTGGTCAGGTTGAATGTTTGTTTCGTACAGTTGTATGTTCATCTCCAAGTTTTGTTTGTCCGTTTGGGTTTGTCCATGTAATTGTGAATCCCATCGAATGTTTCGTTCTGTGTTTTTGTTTCTTATTTTTTGTTTATATGTTTGTATGCCTGGTTGTATGTTTGTATGCCTGGCTGTATGTTTGTATGATTGGTTGTATGTTTGCATAAAGTTTTTGTGCGTTTGTATTTGTATGTAACTATTTTATATGTTTGTGTACTTGCTTTTATGTCACAAGAATCGCATATCTATCTTATTATTCATTTGTTTGTGTGTGTTTGTAAATATTTTTCAATAATTTTAATATTAATTATTATTATTATAACTATATTATTATCATTGTCTTCATCACAATCGTCATCATCGTCATCATTATTTATTATCATTATATTTTAAAGACAAAAATAAATGTTTGTTTGGCTCAGTCGTTTGTTTGTTTGCACTGTTCATTAGTTTGTATGGGGGAGATGAAGAAGAAGAAGAAAAAGAAGAAGAAGAAGAAAAAGAAGAAGAAGAAGAAAAAGAAGAAAAAGAAGAAGAAGAAGAAAGAGAAAAAGAAGAAGAAGAAAAAGAAGAAGAAGAAAAACAAAAAGATAGAGAAGATGAAGAAGAAGAAGAAAAAGAAGAAGAAGAAAAAGAAGAAGAAGAAAAACAAAAAGATAGAGAAGATGAAGAAGAAGAAGAAAAAGAAGAAGAAGAAGATGATGATGATGATGATGAAGAAGAAGAAGAAAAACAAAAAGAAAAACAAGAAGATAGAGAAGATGAAGATGATGAAGATGGAGATCTCTTATTTATCTTGCGCTTTCCATTTTTCCGTTTAGTTTCCGTTTCAGATAGCGCATTATTTTTCAAATAAATCAATGAATAAATGGAGAATAATATTATATGAATGTGTAGGATGTTTTGTTATATCGTTTTTGTTCATATTTTAATTAATGGTTTATATTTATGCCTGTGGTTTTTTTGGTATTTTTAAAAATTTGGGTTATTTGTGTTAGTTAATTTGTTGACGAAATTAACATTGAAATGTTCACATTGAAATGATCTTATTAACTATTAAAAAATATTCTTTTGTTTTATTCATCAGTTAAGTCTTAAAAAAGTAATTCGTTTAAATATTCTTTCATGTGGCCGTTTAAAACGCAGTGATGTGTCATTCTTAAGAAATGGTAAAACATGAAACCAATAACAAAATGAAAATAGAAGAAGAATTAATTTAAAATTAGTTTTAGTAATAAAAACAACGCATCTCTCATTAAATGTTAACGGACTCTTAGCAGGTGCCTGGCTTCAAATGCGTGAGAAATCCTGTTTACCATACAAACGTACGATGGAGACAAATAAATTCTAAATGATGACGAAGATGATAATGACCATGAAGACGAAGATGATTACAATAAAGATAGTGACTATGATGATGATGACGATGATGACTATGATGAGGATAATGATGATGCTGATGATGACGATGATGATGGTGATGGAGAAGAAGATGATGAATCAGAAGATGAAGAAAAAGATGATGAAGAAAAAGATGATGAAGAAAAAGATGATGAATCAGAAGATGAAGAAGATGATGATGATGAAGAAGAAGATAATAAGGACTACGATGATGATGGTGATGAATCAGAAGATGAAGAAGAAGATGATGAAGAAGAAGATAATGAATCAGAAGATGAAGAAGATGATGATGAAGAAAAAGATGATGAAGAAGAAGATGAAGAAGAAGGAGAAAAAGAAAAAGATGATGACGAAGAAGAAGAGGGCGATAATTCATCGTTTCAGCAAAATATTCATGGGCATGTACACGGGCGATAAAACAATAAAAGTTCACTTCAGTATTTAACTCGCGCCTCAAAACCGTAGCAGTAGCAACAACAACAACAATAACAACAACAACAACAACAGCAACACCAACAATAACAACAGCAGCAACAACACCAACAATAACAACAACAGCAGCAATAACAACAACAATAACAACAGCAAAAAACGTCAACAGCAACGACATCAACAAAAACATTAACTGCAACAAAAAGCATAACATTAACTGCAACAAAAAGCATAACATTAACTGCAACAAAAAGCATAACATTAACTGCAACAAAAAGCATCAACAACGACGGCGACATCAAGTAGAAACGAACAAAGCCGGCGATAAAGAATAGCGGTCTGATCAGCCTACAACGAAGCACAACATACCCACCATACATCATAACATTGTTACAGGACATTTAGCATGGGCACCACAACACAAAAACAGTAACAACAATACAATAACACAAACAACATAACATCAATGAAAATACATTAACAGCCATATCATAATGCAAAAAAATCATTCACACATGCATACTCACACACACTCACTCAATGTATCATGTATACATGTTTGGATAGCTCAGACGGTAAGAATGTAATGTTTTGCGTCGTTGTTATTGCTCGATGACCAGATTCAAAAACTATCTGTCTGAAAATTATAAATTCTCATATGCTTAGTGCTATAGATGCGGCTAACGCATGCGTATGTACGTTTCATACAAATTTGTATGTACTTCGAGAGGTGTGTATGTTTCATACAAATTTGTATGTACTTCGAGAGGTGTGTACGTTTCAAACAAATTTGTATGTACGTTGTGAGGTGTGTATGTTGCACACAAATGTCTGTTGCAACAACTTTTGATTCAACGTTGATCATCATCT